TTGTTGGCGTGTGCGTGAGTGCAGTTGAAGCTGCTCTGACGCCTGACGCACACACCAACAAGGCCACCACGGGCAACTCCCACCGTTGCTAGCTAGGACTCTTGGTTTTGTCAATGGTCTGCTTGTGGGTCTTGTCGTGTTGGTGGTATTTCGGTGCGCCATGTAGACTTTGGCCATCCTAGTGGGCTTGCGGGGGGACTAGACGGTGGTAGATTGCGGTGGGTCATGTTGTGGGTCTTCCCACAAGTCCCACCACAAGCATTACTAAAAAAATGCAATAGATCCCGCCAAACGTACAATTTCCGCTTGAATCAATCGTGATTGCGGAGGGATACTGGTTTGGGGTGTCATATAGGGTAACTGTTACAAGGCAATACATTGAAGCTTTCACTGGCGACAGAAGCGGTCCCGGACGAGTCACGTTTGGCGGTACATGGCGTCAACGCAGTTCGTTGAGTTGCTCGGTGGTGTGTGTGCTTCAGTGGTAAACGTAGTCTCACCGCAGGGCGTCCGTCACTTAGAATGAAGCCACAGAACACGAATCCGAGACTACTAGCGGATCGACAGAAGCTCACGTTGTCGATGGCGTTTGCAGCGTTCGTTAGAGTCGTGTCGGTTGTGTTTGCCGTGCGGTGATTCCCACCGAAGAGCACGCACCACCAACACAACTCCAACGATAGCTGCAAACACCGTCAACCCGGTATAATGACATGCGCCGTACTGTGTCCTGTGGCGTTTGAGGGGCGGCGAGTGTCTTTGGGCTGCCTCTGGTGTCTGCGACGAGAAATGGTATTACGTTGTACTGCGGCGTCGCCCTCTGTGACGAATGTAGCGTGGTAAGTCACCATCGGCTACGCTTTTGATGTTTGTAGCGTCTGTATTAAGTTATACTAAATCCGTATTCGTCGTCCATTCCTTGCCATGGTCGATTGTGCAGGTTCCTTTTTCGTCGATGCTGCAGGTACCAACAGAGGTCGATTACATGGGTTCATGGCGTGGGGATCGACGGCATCTGGCTTGCAGCAACGCTTCATAGGACACGGCCTGAGACTGTTTACATGTGAGATGCGGCAGTCGATAGCGTAGGTATACCGTGTACTGGAGAGATTTATGACGTCTACCGCGGATGGTCCCGTCGATAATGATTAATATTTTGTTTGGTTGTGGCACTTTGTGTGGTTGTTGCGGATCAGGAGGTTCAGAGGGGACACGTTTACTTTGGCGGTGGACAAAGTGTGCCCTGTATCGACTGCCGCTGCATGCACGTATCGAGGCCGTGCGTGCAGCGGCGTTCGATCCTGGCGCAGGTGGTACTGTAGTGCGCTCGGGGTTTCGGGGTTCTGCCAAAGCAAAACCTTTAATATTACATAAATGGTGACTACCTGACTTATTACGCTTGAGGGGTTATTTTTGGGCATTTCTCTCAAAAAAGTATTCCTCACATTTTACATTTCCCAAAACCATCTAGTGTGAATCTGCAGCGGCTACTTACAAAGCCATCTGTTCAACCAATATGCTGGATAGTTGAAGTACTACGGTCCGATTTTCCGGAAATCCTTCGCGTTTTCCGCTTTCTAGTCTGTTTTTCACGGTTAGCCGTCGTCGATGTACCGGTAGTGGATGTAGGTGTCAATTTCGCAGCCGTGCACATTTGTTGGCGTAAATAATGCCCATACCGTCAAGTGTAATACGAGTCGGACACTGATCTGCCTTTATCCGTATACGGATATGTACACGTTGATTACATCCCCTGTCTACGAGTGTGTGTGTGGTGGCTTGATGCTGGATTTATCCACGGCGCGTCACTCCATACACCTTGTATAGTCTCGGAGTCACCCTCGACTCCACCCGTGGCGAACTCGACCCGACTTCCTCGAGATCCCCGGCTACCCCGGTTCCCCACGTCTCCTAGCCTACCAGGTTACCCCGCATTCCACGAGTCCCCTGAGTCGACTGCTCAAACCCCTGTGTTCCCGACCTTCCCAGCTACCCCGTCTTTCCCCGTGTTCCCTGAGTTGCATGTCCTCCCCGAACACCCCGAACATCCCCTTGTGTGCTCTGTCAGTGATCTTTGCCCCATTGACGTCAAGCTTCCGAAACAACTCTCGATATCTTATTATCGTGAGCCTTAACATCATCATGCATAACTCACATGGCGTGAATCAGTAGTGCGTCGGACCAAATATACCGGAAATAACCGGAACTTAAACGAAAAATGTTGTAGTACTGTATTATGCATTCGATTCGAAGTTGGAGTGGGTAGTCCAATCGAATAGCGGTTGCCATCCACTCACATGTCTGCCACTACTTCCTGCCCTCTTCACTGGCCTTACTACTGCTTCCTCTGGCGGGTCACGGTGAAGACTACCGTCGTGACGACTACTACGGGTCAACGATCCCGTCGTTGATCCTTGTAAACACATCCATGCGTGTGAACAAGCTGCCTCCGAGGCATGTTGTGCACGTATAGTGACTCATCCGAGACTTCTTGAGGGTTCGAGCTACCCAACATTGCGACACAAACCTTGTGCTCATGTATGCCTTTGCCCCTGGGGGGGGGGTAGATGGAGGATATCTCGACCTTCATTTGGGGAGACTGCCACACCTGCGCTTTCACCGTTTGGTGAGGCGATGACCACCACAATTGGGGAGGCTCTAGTTTGTAGTTCGGTGTACGTAGTTTGGCAAGTACATTTCGTACTAGAAGTACTAGACACTACTCCAATTGTCCCTTCGGGAGCATCAACATACTCCGCCTTCCACCACGAAAGTTACCCATAACTCCGACGTCCAAACGTCGTCGATCGTTGTCCAATAACCCGTGCCAATCGGCGTTGATGACGACGAACTGGTCCTCATGTCCTACTGGGCATGATGCAACAAATCAAACAAGGGTGCGCTTTCAGATGCACGACCTTGGGGTACTCAAATTATTCTCAGATTTATATTGTTCGAGATTGTTCTGCTCGAACTCTCGCAATGCATCAGTCCCAGCAACCTCGAACATCATGAGGTTTAGCATGGAGAATTTAGAACCAATATTCACTCCAATGGAGGAGTTCAATATCAAGCTGTCTGAGTAGATGTATCCTCAGAACGATGCTGAACGCCATTCCTGGGTGAGCACGACACATCGGTCGGTCGTCGAATGGATCATGAATCTCATGATCAGCTCCCGACTAGACCTGGCATGCGTCGTCCTACAACTGTGCGAGTTCCTCATGAACGCCGGCTCTGCTACATGAAGGATGCCATGCGCGCTATAGACAGCAACTACGCCAAGAGTGTTGATGCGTCGCGGGTTTAGTGACATTTTACCGCTACTCTGCGATTTCTCGGATCGCTAAGAGTATGCGAAGCATCGTCCTCTCGACAACGAGGCAGCGTTAATCCTTCTGGGCACATTTGCATAAGAGCGTGTGAGTTTCAAACAGGCAGTCGTTGACATGGGATATCTCATCACCACAGCTATTCCTCTATACGAGGTCAATAAGAGCACCATCCAGATCGTGAACCACTCTGGACATTATGGGCGTACAAATCACATTGACGTACGTTACCATTTCAAGAACCATCTCATCGAACAATAGACTTATGTCTTGTTTACACCGATACACGACTCCAGGTGGTGGATATGAATACCCTCGATGGCACAATTGTCTGCGCTCAGCGTAGTCAACTACGGGTGAGACAGCTGTCACCCTTCAGCACCCTCAGGCGAAAGCTAGGGAGCACGAGCTCCGGCCTATCACCCCGTGACTTAGATGACGTGCCAGGGGGACGCCCTAAAGCATGTTGGCTCGACATCGGGGGGTGACGACATCCCGGTGGTTACTCGATCCATCCAGCCCTTCCACGGCATGTCGTTCGGTAAGGGCCAATTGGTAGGAACCCACTAAAAGGGATGTCTGACGAGGTAAGTCCCGGACAGAAGACGGTGTAACCAGTGGCGGTTAAGCTCTGTTCTGCAGCGTGCAGAGAAATTGGGTCGCGCGTCGGTTTGACCCATTGCAAACGCACACACTCTGTGTGTGTGCCGTGTCAAATGTTTCGATACCTTAGTGGAGGTACTGAGTAAATGGTAGTCAGTAGGCGCCTCGTGGCGTGTTTAACCTCACTAATGACAGTGTTATATTTGCTACCTTGACGAAGGTCCCGTGGCCGAAAACCAAGAAGACACGAGAGACAAGACAAAGACATATTTAGTTCATTGTTGAGCTAGAGAACATTCCTCCGACAAGGAACACCAACGAACGCCGAAGTACGATCGCGTGACCGGATCGAGGGGCCGGAGGAAGCGCCGCTCGGCGCACCGTTGAGATTCCGTTCAAATCTCCCCGACGACGACAGCCACCTGCTGTCGACGAGTGGCAACCGCCACGTGGTGGGTTTTACACCCCTGCCACAACCTGAGGAGCACAAGCTGTCGAAGCGTTTGTCTCAGCTACTGCTCCACCATCAACTGAAGCATATGGCGCTTCAGTGCCGTTGCCAGTCGACAACGACCCGTCGGATGTCCGTGACATGGGAAGCGATCGCAGTTACGGCCGTACGGTGCCACAAGTTTGGAACGCGCCGCGATCCCTCGACCGCCGACATTTTTGGGCTCGACCAAGGCCGAAAGACGCTTTTGCGCGAGTACCATAAGTATCTGGGGCAGATCAACGCTCTGCAGTGCAATGGATGGCGTCCGTCGATGCCCGTGAGTGCCTGCATGGACCCGTTCTCGAAGCGCCGCATTGCGCTTGTTGACTTCAAGTTCAACTGCGTGACGCTGGACACGACGTGTGGACCGCTTGTGTTGCGCGGTTTGAAGGCCTGGGTCGACGACGCGTCGACTGCGACCGAACTCATTGTGAGTCGCCCAGTCATGGAGTTACTGGGCTTCAGCGTGGAAGACTTCCTTGTCGGAGCAAGGAAAAAGAAGAAAGAATGGAACGTTTCGTCCGTGCCGACAAATCAGCTGTCCGGCATGGCGAATGTCAAGCGCCTGATGGCGGAGAAGTTGAATCCGCCGGAGCTTGACCCCGACGACGGGATGGAGTGTGCTACTCCGGAGGTTTATCCCAAAACCTCCGTCGAGGACGAAGCGGAGCGGCGCCGCACGAAGCAGGGCGACGTTCAAGCCATCTGAAGCGACGGGGTTGCACGACTTACTGGCCAAACACATTGATGTGTTCCGTGAAGAATTTGGGCGACGATCCGCCAGCCAAGGTTGAACCACTGAAGGTTCGAATCAAGCCCGGTTCGACGCCGGTGAAGTGTGGGATGCGGCGGTACCCGCCGCTGTATGTGGTGTACATGCGCAGCCATGTGGCTGCCCTGGAAGCGAATGGTAGGGTGTACCAAAACAACAGGGCTACTTAGACCGCAGCCCCAAGAATCATGCCGAAGAAGGAAGTCGGCGATTTGCGCATGATGATCGACAGCAGGCCGATCAACGCCTGCGCGAAGCCGATACCTTAGGCGATGCCAAACCTGGACAGCGCGATGGTCTGTCTGGTCGGGACGGACGTGTACGTCACGTTGGACCGGACTAAGGGGTACTGGCAGTTGCCGCTACATGTGGACAGTCAGATGTACTTTTCGTTCATGATGACCTTCGGTGTGTACACCCCGACCCGCGTGTTCATGGGACAGACGGACGATGTCACGTACTGCCAGTCGGTTGTCCACCAAATGTTCGGTGAACTGCTGTTCTGAGGCCTGTTGGCATGGCTGGATGACTTGATGGGGTCTGCTAAGATGACGGACGAGCTGTTTTACTTCTTGGACCAAGTCTTGACCATTTGCGCCCAGTTCGGACTCAAGTTGAGCCCGAAGAAGTGCCATTTGTTTCTGCGCGAGGCAGAATGGTGTGGCAAGGTGATATCGGCCGATGGAATCACCCATTCCCCAAGATGAATTCAAGGACTCGTGGATTTGTCGCCGACGTCGACCTCGGTCGACCTCCAACAGTTTGTGTGCACCACCAACTGGATGCGTGCAAACATCCCTGGTTAGAACCAGCTGTTGGATCCGTTGTGACTTCTGCTGGACATGGCCACCAAGGCAGCCAGAAGCTGCAAGAAAATAGCGTTAGTGCGCGTTGCACTCCCTGCCATGGGATGGTCGTCCGACCATCTCAAGTGTTTCAACGATGTGAAACACGCGTTGGCGCATGTGGTGCCTTGTCGAGAAGACATGACTGTCTGCGTTTTCACGGACGCCAGTGACATGTCTTGGAGTGCGGTTGCCACACAAGTACCGCCAGCGGACCTCGACTTGCCTCTCGAAGACCAGCGGCACCAACCGCTTGCGTTCATCAGTGGGTCGTTTTCTGGCGCTGTTTTATGCGCTGGCCCATTGTCGAGAAGGAGACCTACAGTATGCCGTGGTCGAGTCGTGCAAGAGACTCAACTACCTGGCCGTACACCCGGGTGATTTCCGTCTGTTTACAGATCACCGCAACGTGGTGTATATTTTCAACCCAAGTGGATCGAACGCCAACGTGGCCAAGTACCAGGCCGACAAGCTGCAGCGATGGTCGCTGGTGATGTCGACGTTCCCGTACATCATTGAGTGCGTCTCGGGTGACCCGAATGTATGGGGTGACCTCCTGAGCCGATGGGGTTCGGCCCCGATGGATCAACCAGCTGCTAATGTTCGCAAGTTGATCCATGTGGTGTCGCCTCTGCAACAAGTGGATTTCGAGTGGCCGACAGCCGCTACGATCAGCGGCATCCAACGTTCAACCATGGAAGGGGGAGGGAACCCTCCAAACGGCGTGGATTGGGTCGTCGACTCCCATATATATACGTGGACCCAGACGGTCGAATCTGGATCCCATAGGGTGGCGTTGACCTACAGCAGCGGATTTGTGTGATCGCTCACCAAGGAGCCAGCGGTCACCGTCGCATTGCAGCGACGACCTCGGTGTCCAACAAGTTGGAGACGCTTTCCACGAACGTCGAAGCGTTCGTGCGTGTCTGTTTGCACTGCCTGTGCATTGACGGAGACATGGTCCCCCGTTCATTGGGTTCGGGACTTCACGTGGAGAGGCCGAACGAGCTCATCCATTTCGACTGGTTGTCGATGCCCATGGCCAAGCCTGGCCAAAAACAAGTGCTTGTCGTGAAGGATGACATGAGTGGCTCTGTGCAGATGTTCGCGACAGAGTCCGCTGACGCCGCCACGACCGCTCACTGCCTGATGACGTGGTTTACGACGTTCGGCTGCGTTGACCCTTGGATGTCCAATGGCGGCTCTCCTTTCAAGAACGAAGACATCGACAAGGTGCGGAAGTTGGTGGGTGCCCACCATCACATCACGTCAGCCTACAGTCATTGGGCGAACGGGATTGTAGAAGTAGTCAACCGACTAGTGTTGTGCGCCATGAAGGCGCTTCTCAGCGAAATGAAGCTGAACGTGGACGAATTGCCGCATGTGTTGCCCCTCGTTCAAGGTGCCCTCAACTATCAGCCGGCGAACCGGCAGGGAGGAATTGCATCTGTGACAGCGTTTACCAGCCTGCCAGCCAAGACCCCATTGGCAGCATTTGTCCACCCGACGTCCAAGGAAGTTTACGTCGCGGACGGGCTTGGCGCTGCCCGTCAAAAACATGTGACGGACCTCCAAGTGGCGCTTGAGGAAATGCACCGCTACGTAGTGATGCGAAGCGACAAGTTGCGTCAGCAAGTGCGTGGATGCCGCGACCGAAAATTCGAAGTCAAGTTTGCGGGGTTTTCAGTCGGCGATTTTGTGCTGGTCGGATCGGTCGTCAACCGACCGACAAATTGGCCCTGCATTGGTGCGGACCCTGCCAAGTGACCAGAGTTATCACAGATTATATGATGATGCTCACCAGCTGGTGCCACCGTACGAAGTCATGGTCCATCATGTGTGCCGATTGAAGATGCTCAGCAGCTGGTGCCACCGTACGAAGTCACAGTCCACCATGCATGCCGATTGAAATTGCACCACGAAGGTGGTAGGGAGGTGACCGAAGCCCTGGAGGCACAGGTCGCGTTTTGGCGATGGCGAAATTCATGTGGAGCGCCTAGACGAAGCGCGATACATGGATGGCCAACACCAAGTTTTGGTGAAATGGCTCGGTGTCGACGATGAAGAATCGTCCTGGGAACCTGCGGCGAATTTGCTGGACGACATTCCAGTCGTATTTCGCAAGTGGCTGCGGCCAACAAGCGAGACCCTGTCGTGGTCGCCCTCATCAAGATACTGAACTTTCCGTAGAAGGGGAAGTGTTCTGCAGCGTTCAGAACAATTGGGTCGCCCGTCGGTTTAACCCATTGCAAACGCACACACTATCTGTGTGTGCCGTGTCAAAGGTTCCGATACCTTAGTGGAGGTAATGAGTACTTTAGTGAATGGTAGTCAGTAGGCGCCTCGTGGCGTGTTTAACCTCACTAATGTCAGTGTTATATTTTCTACCTTGACGAAGGTCTCGTGGGCGAAAGCCAAGAAGAAGCGAGAGACAAAACACGCTCACTGAGCTTAACCGCTAGCCTTTTGCTGCACTCTGGGCACCTGATTCCGGTTGACAGTGCGTGGCGCTGTTGGGGGGCAGTAGAAAACATCCTCATTGCCCTGTCAGTCAGGTAGCAGCATTCTTCTAGTTGTGTAGGTTCTTTTTGTGCTTTTTAGAGACTTTTCCTCAGGTAGAAGACAGCGCAGACATTCGTCACGAAACATTACGGATGTCGTGGCCATTCATAGTTTAGTCTGATTGGCTGTTTTTCTCGTCCATCAGAACTAATATACTTTCAGTTCTTCCTCCATGTCTGCTTATGCTTCCTGCCCTCTCCACTAAAGTCAATGTCGAATTGCTGGTCCACGGCTAACTGGTCAGTATCCAGCGAGTTTGCTGTGCGCCATGTTCATGACGATGGACACGACCCTGTTATTGCTTTGAACTGGCCCACTTCAATCTGGCTGGGTTATGGCTAGGCTGATATCATGAATGCCTATTTCAGTACGACTGTTACTAATAGCTTTTCAAAGGGCGATACCACACACCGACCACGACAATAGTGAATGCATCAGTGAAGTGGGAATACATTCAAGATCACTGGATCGTCATGAACTCTCGAGTGTTCTTGAAATCGTTGTTGCTTAACGGCTGACGACGACTCGTTGGGCTGGAGCTACAGGTAGTTCGCAGTCGACTACCATTACGGTTTTCCCGAACAAAACAGTCGTTGAGGCTAGTGGGTTCGACATAGTGACTGTAACACTTGACTCAAGAAGTTTGTGAGCTTTGCAGTTGAGACTACATAGAGGGTTCGACACAACATTTGTGACTGTATCACTTGACTCAAGAAGTTTGTGAACTTTGAAACCTCTTGGGCGTATGAATGTGAAGGCAATGGCACGAGTAGAAAATATCACGGATAACCTGCAAATTACTCTCGCATCATATCACATCCCTCATCGTCGTGAGAAATCCCACCAACCTGTATTCTTATTGTATTCTTATATTTAAAAATCTACTAGTACTTCGCATCCTGAAAGCAAGATATAAAGTGCTGCAGAATATTGGAGATTCGGTATGAATTTCCGGACCCCGTCTTCCTAAGCGAATCGAGCACCAATCTCTCCCATTGGTCAATCCGAAATTACTTGTCTCTGATTGGCTACAATCCATTCTACTGGAAAGGGCGAAGTGGATAATGGCCAATCAGATGTCTCGGCTCTATTTGTGCTCGATTGAACGAACATGCAAAATTGGGAAATTTGACGAAAATGGACAATATTCAGAACAAAAAAGTCAGCCACTGTGATGGTGTGTTTGGAATGTATGTACAGTAGATGTGACTCTTTATCTAACTGTCGAATTGAACTCGGTTACAAGCGGATACTCATGCACCAGCACATACTTCCCTGCGCAGTACCAAACTGACAGACAAGTTTCAAGTCGACACAAACCTACTAATCAGCCCTCAACTACAGTAGCGAGTGAAGCATGCATACCGTGTAGCTTTTATAGTTTTAGACACCCACGGGACAATTATCCGTACTATGAAATTTCGGATAATGGGAAATCGTCAGGGGCTGCCTAAGTTCAAATATTAGGAGTGGATCATTGTAAAACGTGAGGGGTATCAAACAACGAAGGGAAACTTTATAAAATAGCTCATACAAATGGTAAGATAATACATTATCTACAACGAAACAATTTCAGGTGAGCTGGTGGCACCGACGGCGTCAATATCCTGTGCTGGATCAATGGTCTCCTCGACGGCAGAGTCGGCCATCAAATCAGCAATGTCGCCGTCGTCAAGACTGTCCTCCGACATTTCCACCTCAACGGCAGCACCGTCGACGAGCTGGCACTTGCGGAACCCATTCAGAATCACGCTTTCAGGTACTTCATTCCATGCCCCAGTGATCCACTCAACCATTGTAGATCGCGATGGACCCGCGAGCTTGAGGTTTTGGTTGGCCGCTCTGCTATATCGCAGCTGGCTCCGAATCTCCACAAGCCAACGATCGCGCAGGGTTGCCTTCAGAGGACGAATCCATGCGACATCGGCAGGTTGGCAGCACCAGGTAAAACGGGGTGGCACACGCTCTAATATGACGTTGATGGACTCGGCGTAGGCAATGACTTCATCCGTGAAGTGCGCACTGAAGTCGTCCCACAAGAGGATGACCTTCTTGTCTAGGCCGCCTTCACGCCGCCCGAAATGGTACTCAAGGAAGGCCAACGACAGGCCTGAGTTCCACCAAGCTGTTGGATTACCGAAGATCCGGCAGCCATAGCGCTCTTGCAGTGGCTCAACGGCGCTCCACACTTGGCGTCCGAATCCTTGGCGCATGGTGAGATTGTCCTGGACAACTTCCTTGATCTTCGACTTCTTCGACTTCATGACAAGGAATAGGGGGTGCTTCTTCCCAGTCGTGTCCGCCAGCAGCATTGCAGTCGCGCGCTCCTTGGTCTTGCCGCCGCACTTGACCCACACGGTATTGTCCTTCGTCGGGTTGAGTGTCTTCGATGGTAGGTACTCGTAGTTGACAGCAGTCTGGTCTGCGTTGTAGATCACGTCGACATCGTTGGCCATGGTGCACATGAGGACTCGCTCGGAGAACTCCGCAAGGGTGGTAGTTCCGTCTTGGGTCGAGTCTTGACCGATTCTCGTCTTGGAACGAAGCGACAGACCATGGCGGCGCTTGAAGCCTTGAATCCACGTCCAACTGGCCTTGAATTCGTCTTCGGTAAGTCCCACGTCAATCGCTGTCTCCAGCGCCATGACGCGGAGCATGTGGTAGGTAACTGGTATACCATCCTTCCGCATCCCGAGCACCCATCGGGCAAGTTGCTCCTCTTCGGCAGGAGGCAGCGTCGTTCCAGTCCCACGTGTCCGAGCACATTTGTGATGCGCCGTCCGTGCTGTTGTTGCTATCTCCTGGATATGATCCTTCTGTTTAATCCATCCATACACTTTCTTTCTTGTCGTGTCGCGTTGAGTGGGGGTGGCGTTGGCACAGTAGCCGTCGAGAAATGCGGACATCCCAACCTCGGCGACGCGGTGAATGACATTCAATCGGTGTTGGTATTCGACTGTCTTGTTCTTGAAGAGGCGCACGTGAGCTTTCTTGCCGTATTTGAATGGCATCCGTCCTTTGCGACGACTCGGCACCACATCGTGGACGTCAGCCTTGATTGTCGATTGCCGTGTCAAAACGCGGTGCACATGCTTTGGCGGCAAAATAAGCTGCTGTTGCAAGTGGGAAGGTGCAAAAGCCAGGGGGGACATTGTCCATAGTGAATGAATCCTTGGTGAGCTTTCCCGAGGACCCAAAGTACTGCTGGGGGAGGAGCGATAGGAACAGAGCACCCACTAACTGTTCCGACACAATTGGCTCGCCGAAGCACTTGACGCTCTCAGCGTTGATGCGGTTCCGTAGGGCACTCATTGCCTTAAAGTGGTCACCCACATGGCGGTAGTCGGACGTAAGGGTGCCGACGAACTTAGTGAGGAGGCCAATGACACCCGCCGCGCTCGACTCCCCAAAATCGCGTTCGAGCATGCGCCAGATCTCGGTAACTGTAACGGCTGGGTCAATTATGGACATGTTGAGCTGGTTAACTGTCAATACTTAAGACTTACGGACGGGATGACACATGGATGAAATCGATTATACATTAATATTATTGTGCGTTACTGTGTTTAAGGTAATAGAATTCATTCATCAATGCCTAGATTTAGACTTATATAGATGACTTAGATGACATGGGATGAATCCCGAATACCACGTAGTCGATGATTAACGTACTCTGTCTTTATATATAGCACAGAGCTTTACTACCTTGTGATTTGATTTCTTTCAAAATTGACATATTTCACAATACGTATACTTAATATTGATAGTTAAATCAACCGTTCATGCCTTGGTTGTAGAAGCAAACGCATTGGCATACCCGATCCCCTCGGCGTCCTTGAAACTACTACACACACATAGAGGTAAAAACGGCATGTTAATACAGAATTTATTATTGGAGTACCAACCCCACAAATCTGTCTTAACAAAAAACTCCTCCGACTGATACAGCAGCAACTTCATGGCAACCTTGGTCACCCCTATTCTCAAGGCATGAACATTAGTGTCCGAGCGACCGCACATAATCGGAACTTACCAATTTCCAGTTGCACTTGATGCCACCCTTGCAGCCAGCGATTGTCAAAAATATATTTAAATATATTTTCCGGTGAAGTTATTTATTGTTTATATATTATGGTTTCCGACAGAATAGAAATAACTATTGCAATATATTTTGCTTGGTCAATATCTATTGCACTAACCACTGATTCGCCAATAACTATTGCACTAAATTTTGATTGGCCAATAACTATTGCAATAATATTCCAAAGGGCAATAACTATTGCAATAACGAATCATTAGCCAATAAATATTGCAATATTTTTTGATTGGTCAATAAATACTAGCACTCAAATTTTGTTGTCTACTTCCCAGAGAGTTTTTTTTGCCTTGACTTGAAAGCGCTTCTTTTTGGCCACCTTCGCTTCGGCTTTCTTTGCCTTCTTCGCCTATTCTTGTGGAGATAGCCATTATGCCTCATCCTCATCGCTGTCAGAGTTGACCCCTCGGCATGCGATCATGTCCTGAATACAGTAATACGAGGACGGTATCTGTAATCAATCTCGAGGCTGTAACCCATTTTTGGAAATGAAATATCTGTCATATGTTTGCATTGATATTCTATATGCATAAGGCATGTGCTCATTGCTAACAGGTACGATTCGGCTCGATGGATTATTTTTGCTGACACAAAATGGGCCGCAATACCTCTTCAATTTATGCGTATCCACGATTTCTAGAGGGGTGGGGTTGGTCATTTCATTCTACACCAACTCTGGCAGTAGTACCATTCGTTAAAATGGTGCAAACACTTTGGCAAACAATTTACGAGCCCAAATGTTGCCTTTCAATTGGTTAACAGAATTTTCGGCTGTTTTGTACGTTCGTCCAAGGCGAACGTTATAGATTTGTGCAGGTTTCGTCCAGATGCAGGAAACTCCTATTCAAGCCAATGAAACTTACTTACGCATTCATAACGCACTTTGATTGGACAAATTTGGACAAAATAAATATGGTGTGTACTTGATGTTTGTATGCAGAATGATGCACAATTGATTAATAATTTCCAGTCAGAGTTTCGAGAATCGAGAGCCCAGAGCCCAGGGACCTCATTTTTGGAGTCCTAGCGAGAAGGTACTTTGGCCATGAGGCGAAGGCACGGGAGGGTATAGACTTCCCCATTAGTCCATATAGGTGCGTTTTCGATTACTATCCAAGACTCACGCGCGGGCTGGGGTCGAAGGACTTGCTGACGTGTTCCAGTCATTTGGTATTCAGTCATTTGGTATTTGTGTTGCATGGATGTTGCGAGCTCTTTTGAGTCTCCAACGCGATAGTAGTGGGAACATGTGAGCCAGCCAAAGAATTGACCAGTCATATTGCAGGGTGCTGATAAATTGTCCAATCAGGTTATTGGATTCGGAAAACCAATATTATTGCAATATTTCTTGGGGCCTAATAAAATAACAGCAATAATTCTCTGGAAACCAATAACTATGGCAATATTACTTGGGGTCCAATAAAATAACTGCAATAATTATGGGGAAAACAATAACTATTGCAGTATATTTCGCTCTTTCAATAAATAGTTCTATTGTTCAGGCACAATATAATAAAATATTATTGCAATATATTTAAATAATTGTTTTCACAATATATTTTTGACAATCGCTGCAAGTTGCAGCGCGTTGTGCTAAACTTGGTCAATACCGCGTTAGCACCCCAAGTTCGAACTCGTCAACGATTTGATCACAATGATCTCAAAGGCGCGACATCACCGGCTTGACAGATTGGCCAACAAATGCACGAAGCCCATTTGTGTACTCCACGCTTGCTAGTGAAAGGCACTGATCATAGATTACCTGGTATCTGCGACGTGTCAGCCCCTCAGCGAGTTTTAAGAGGTATCGCGTAGCCGGCAAAATAATAATAACAAAACGTAGTGTGTTGTATTGGATTGTTCATACAGTATAATCAATATATTTATTGTATGTGTTGAATATCAGTGTTACATCGAATTTATTTTCGTGCGTTGCTTTCGTGATTGGTTGAATTCTGATGCGAAAGCAAGTCATTGGGTTTCGGGTTTCACCTCCTTCTACAGAAGACCTGGATACTAACTAGTATATCATAGTCAAAATATTCATTTTCCTTCACCTTCGTTTCTCATAGTACCGTATTTCCCACACATCTGTAACCACGTTCAATGATCAATATTAAATTCAAGACAAATAAAAAGCCAGTGTGAACGAAGCAATTTGGGTGGTCATGTTAAAGCTGTAACCAATAATCAATGATTGGGTAATGCTCAACCAGTCAAAACGTAGTGCTGCAGAATTCAACACCTGAAAGTGGATGGAGTTGAAGGCCGTGGGCATTGTTGGCTGCGCAAATGGTGAGGGTACTCGAAGCTGTACGTTGCACGAAGTCGGCGGCAATAGCTTGTCAGTCGACGACGTGCCTGTGTTTCGTTGCGAGGTGGTGCGAGGGCACGGTGACCGACTCGAAGAAGCAATCAAGGTGTACAAGATTGTTGGCGTGGAGCAGCTTTGCCACATTGGTTCCTCCCCCGACGACTGCTAACCTGCAAGCCATGTTCGCGAACAAGCTGGCCCTTGTTGTGGAAGACTACAGAGTCGCATTAAGCGTGTCTAAGCGTAATCGCTAAAATAGATGTCATGGTATTGTCAACGCAGTGCTTATATAACATGTTGAAGATTAGCATGTACGTATTCTGGATTAGATCTTTGAATGACTTGTGAATAGCAACATTCAACGGCTGCAAAACGCAAGTAAAACCCGCCTAAGCAAGGAATTGAAAAGTTAGAAAATCACTTACAAAAATATACACGATTGAATCATTCACGAAAATATATACGTAAATATAAATCAAATATCTCAAATAATTACCAAAAAACATATACATACCGTACAAACATATATATCAAATGCCTGCAATAACTTCCATAGCTGTGCCGTCGTTAGACAACAAGAGCCCAATCCGAGCGGTCTTATAGATGGATAAGCTTCAAAATCAATTTCTTTACTTCTGGTTGGAATGTACGTTATATTGAATTTCACAGTGCCATAAAAGTCAATAAGGGCATAAAGTACAAGTTTAACATGTCTTCAGCGGCACCTGCACATCTGATCAGCTAAACACCAAAATCATAGGGACATCCTAAATTCCTTAAATACACACATAGGCTGACGAATTCGACACGTGCCCATCAAATACCTCCTTCCATACGTATTTTAAGTGTATTACTATTTTCCCAAGTGCAATTGGCCCCCGCCTTGTAGATTTCCCTCCAAATTTGTTTGCCCAACAAAAAACTGCAGCTCACAAGTCAATTCAACACCCGCCGTTCAAATGGTCTTCAACCCCACCGCAATGTTTGCAAGTCTCCAGGAGGAGACAGTCCGTGACCAGGTCTTCCTGGACGATTGCCACCAGCGCCATGGAGACGCTGTTGATGAGCGCGTCCACGACCCCGACACCACGCAACCTATCATCGACAAGACACTGGAAGCCACTGGCATAGAAAAGTCATGACCAACTTTACACCGACGGAGTTCGACATCCTTTGGGACATAGTACAGCTGACGATGAAAACGCGCTCGACCGAAGTACGCGGCCCCAAGACGACAAAGAAACCACGTGACGCCTTCTTCGTGGGCCTTACCGTCTTGAAGTACCATCCGTTCTGGAAAAAGCATGCTCTGGACTTCGGGTACAAAGCGCCAACGTTTCAGAAGCTGATGACTCGTACCTTCGACGTAACACGCCATGTTCTGTACGACCCGTCATCATACCGACAATGAATGAATGCGTCGATAACGGGGAGTACTATTCGAAGTACCCCATGATGTGGGCCGTGCTTGTTGATATGGAGTACCGCGGCATCATTGATCGTGGCATTCATTCCAATAAAAGGCCTGTGGGCGGCTACCTGGGTATGGAAGACGTACAGCGAAACCCCCGCGCGTCGTCTGACCGCGTGCTGGTGGAAATTTTATTTGGCCGCGTGTGCTTGCTATGGATGATATTATACAACACCTTCTGCTGGGGCCAATGCATGTACGAAAGTATTCAGCGGCTTACCTTTGCCTTGACGAATTTCCATGTGTTGTTGATCCCCTTGCGCGCCGTCGATGGTATCTTCTACCGTTCGGTTCTTGCTCGCTATGAAGAAATGGCTCAGGAGAAGATCGATGAGAAGCGCAGACGCCAACAACAAGGTCGACGTCGTCGCCTTCAAAGGATTGCACTGCGTCGTGGTCTTACCGGTGGTTCGCGCGTTCATGTCCTCCATCCACATCATCGCAAATTGGATAATCTGCTTGTGTAGAGAGGGACGAAATATATCGAATGTTCGGTAAACATAAAACGCACATGGCTTGAATCAGTTGTGCGTCGGACGAAATATACCGGAAATAACATGAACTTAAATGAAAGATGGTGTATTTCGAATTATTTACTATTAATAGTATATGGATTTCAAATATGCGTAATCCAAACGTCGTCCCAACTACACCCACCATTAATATTAGGTCATGTCCTAATTAGTATAGATGAGAGTAAATTAGGATAATGCTAGGTCATTGCATACAGGCCTCGTCCAGGAGCGGCACGGCCTACGGCCTACCTACCGCTGCCCGAGAAGAAGAAAAGATAGATCATTCGGTGAAGTGAGAAGCTTAGATCCGCGCTCTCGTACGGCCGCGCTTGCGCAGACGGCCTCCCGGGCGCTCGGGGCCAACATAAGTCACTACTTTAGGTTTCATCCCACAACTTCATCCAGTGTCATCCAAATGTCATCCACATGTCATCCACGCTTTTAATTCAACAATTATATTATATTAACCATAGTATCCAAGGTTGGTATTAATATTAAATGCTGTCCCGTACTACACCATTTTTCGATTAACAGTAAGTTCAGGTTATTTTCGGTATATTTCGTCCGGCGCGCAACTGATTCATCCGAAATCCATTATGTTCGCATGATAACTTAGTTATTCGTTATATTTCGTCCTGGCCCAACTTCGTTCTAGTATATTTCGACTGATATGCGGTATGTGTCATCCTACCAGCGGTATTTATGTCACGTTGTTCAATATATTTCGATTAAAGAAATGCAGATCAAATAAACGAATGCAAGGAGTTTTCGTTGCTTCTTCAAGCGCCAACTTCCATGTCTTCGATGTTTTCAGCGCGACCGTAGAAATACTCAAGCCGCAGCGTATAAAGGGTGCAGACGGTTCTCGTCGATTCCTATAAATCAGTTAGACCAGGCTCAATGGTTAATCAATACCTGCGATAGCCACGTTGGCAATGTGCTCGAGGTATGCCATACGAAATTCCTCCCGCGTTTGGCCATCAGGCGGGGGGGCCATACACGTAGCAAGGCGCTCCCGGAGCAATGTCTTCACATGATTCTTCATTGATGACCACATATTCTCAATTGGGGTGACATATACCGGACATTAGTCGAAATATACTGCAACGTTATAGGATCTGGACGAAATATATCGAATGTTAGGCGAATGACGCACATGGCGTGAATCAGTTGTGCGCGGGACGAAATATACCGAATATAACCTGAACTTAAACGAAAAATGGTGTAGTAGTGTCCCTTGCCTGTATTAAAATGTCATGATTAGTAGTGTCGAGATGTGATTGGCCAATTGATTGACCCTCGAATGACGTGCAGCCATTTGATTCGACTACAGTAATAATACAATGAGTATACTATTAATACTATTAATACGTAGTACTGTTATAGAAGTACGAAGTAGTAGTAGTACGTATACTACTTCGTAGTGTACTACAGTACTAGTATATCTTGGGAAGTGATCACTTTTGAGATGCTGACCAAGTTCGAGTCGAAGAGCAACCGCGTCAAGGGGCTGTGCTTCCACCCGACGCGCCCATGGGTGCTGTCATCGCTGCATAATGGTGTGATCCAACTCTGGGACTTCCGCATGGGAACCCTCATTGACCGTTTCGACGAGCATGACGGCCCCGTGCGAGGTGTCGACTTCCACAAGACTCAGCCGCTGTTCGTGTCTGGCGGGGACGACTACAAGATCAAGGTGTGGGACTACAAGCTTCGTCGATGCCTGTTCACGCTTCTGGGGCACTTGGACTACATCCGCTCAGTCCAGTTCCACCACGAGTACCCGTGGATCACGTCGTGTTCCGACGATCAAACCATTCGTATTTGGAACTGGCAGTCGCGGTCGTGTGTATCGGTGCTTACGGGACACCACCACTTCGTCATGAGCTGTCAATTCCATCCCAAGGAAGACCTGATCGTGTCGGCATCCCTCGATCAAACCGTCCGCGTGTGGGATACCACAGGGTTGCGCAAGAAGACTGTGCGCGGCGCGCCATCGTCGCTCGAAGATTCGATTCCCGTGGCGAGTCCCCATGGCCTTGGTCGGTCCGGCTCGGACATCTTTGGCGCCACGGATGCCGTCGTGAAATACGTGCTGGAAGGCCACGATCGCGGCGTGAACTGGGCGTCGTTCCACCCCACGTTGCCGCTGATTGTGTCCGGGTCCGACGACCGTCAGGTGAAGCTGTGGCGCATGAACGACACCAAGGCGTGGGAAGTCGACACGATGCGCGGCCACACGAACAACGTGAGCTGCGTCATCTTCCATCCGCGCCAGGAGCTGATCCTTTCCAACTCGGAAGACCGCAGCATCCGCGTATGGGACATCGCCAAGCGCATGGGGTTGCAGACGTTTCGCCGCGAGAACGACCGGTTCTGGATGCTCCAGGCCCACCCGACGCAGAACCTGCTGGCGGCCGGCCACGATTCCGGCATGATCGTGTTCAAACTCGAGCGCGAACGCCCCGCGCTCGACTTGGTCGACAACGCCGTGTTGTACGTCAAGGACCGGTACGTCCGCAAGTACCACTTTGGCACCGGCAGCGACAACCCCGTGGCCACGATCCGTCGCGCGGGGGGGGGCGGCGCGGTGGGTCAGCTGCCGCGCTACATGCACTTCAACCCGTTCGACCCGCCGAACGCCACGTCCAACTCGCTCCTGCTCACGAGCGACGTCGAGGGCGGGTCTTACGACCTCGTGACGTTCACGCCGACCAACAACGACGTGTCCGACTCGACGCGGGGCACGGCGCTGTACGCAGTGTTTGTGGCCCGCCAGCGCTTTGCCGTGCTGGACAAGTCGCGCCACTTGGTGATCAAGAACCTGCAGAACGAGATCGTCAAGAAGATCACGCCGCCCAGTGGCACCACGGACGCGCTCTTTCCCGGCGGCACACTCGGCCGCGTCCTCCTGCGCATCGACGACAAGATCGTGTTATATGACACGGACAGCCGCCGCGTGCTGGCGGACGTGGTCGCGCCCCGCGTCAAGTACGTCGTGTGGAGTGCGTCGGGCGAGTACGTGGCCTTGTTGTCCAAGCACTCTGTGTACATTGCCGACAAGCAGCTCAAGCACCTGGGCACAGTCACCGAGGTGGTCAAGGTCAAGAGCGGGGTGTGGGGGCCCACCAACGTGTTTGTGTACACGACGCAGAACCACATCAAGTACGCCCTCGCGAACGGCGACAGCGGCCTCATCCGGACGCTGGACGTGCCAGTGTACCTGACGCACCTGGTCGAGTCCAAACTGTACGCGCTGGACCGCGACGCCAAGATGCGCATCCTGCAGATCGACTTGACCGAATGCGAGTTCAAGCTTGCGCTGGCTGCCAAGCAGTTTACGACCGTCATGCGCATGGTCAAGCACTCGCGACTGTGTGGACAGGCCATCATCACGTACCTGACGCAAAAAGGGTACCCCGAGGTGGCCCTCCACTTTGTCAACGACGACAAGACGCGCTTCAAGCTGGCCATCTCGTGTGGCAACTTGGAGGTAGCGCTCAACTCGGCGTACGAACTGGACGACGCCAAGTGCTGGCACCAATTAGGTGTCGAAGCGCTGCGCCAGGGCAACATCCAAGTGGTCGAGATGGCGTACCAGCGCACCAAGAACTTTGAGCGCCTGTCGTTTTTGTACCTGATCACGGGCAACCGCGACAAGCTCAAGAAGATGCTCAAGATCGCCGACCTCCGCCAAGACATCATGTCCCGCTTCCACAACGCGTTGTACCTGGGCGACGTCCCGGAGCGCGTCGCGGCGCTCGAGGCGGCCGGCCAGCATGCGCTAGCCCTCCTCACGGCGGCCACCCACGGCCTCGACGACCACGTTGGCCGCCTCCGCGCCCACTTTGAAGCGCACGACCCGTCGTTTGACGTGCCCGCGTTTCTGGCCCGTGAGCTGCTGCCGGACGCCGCACTCCTCCTGCCCGCGTCGTCCGTGAGCGACCTCACGCAAGACAACTGGCCGCTCGTCGAGCTGAGCGAACCCACCATGACGGACCACGCCGCCGCCGCCGACGCCCAAGTCAGCCGCACGACGCTGTACGACGAACAACAGCAGCAACAACATGGAGGCGGTCCATCCACCCACGAGACGGCTGCTCCCACGACCCGGCGCCAGTCGGACGACTTTTTGTCGGACGCCGACGCCGGCGCGTGGGACGACGAAGACGACGGGCTCTTCAGCGACGGCGACGACCGACCGTCGTTGGACGGCGGGGACGTGTTTCACGACTCGTCGGCCTCGACGTCCGACTTTGTTGTGGCCCCCACCGCCGGCACCCCCGTCCCGTCGACCTGGACTCGGAACTCGTCCGTCGCTGCCAACCACGTGGCCGCCGGATCGTTCGACACGGCCATGCAGCTGCTCCACCGCCAGATCGGCGTCGTCAACTTTGAACCGCTCAAGCCGCTCTTCCTGAGCATCTACGCCGGCAGCTCCGCCAGCGTCCCCACGCAAGGCAACGTGTCGTCGCTCCGGACGTACGTGCAGCGGTCGCCGTCCGAGCCCGTGGTGGCCACGTCGGTCCACGCGCTCGTCAACATTCTCAAGGAAACGTACCGCAGCTTCACGGGCGCCAAGTTCGACGACGTGGCGACGCTGAGCCAGTCCATCTTGCACGCTATCCCCCTCCTCTCGGTGGATTCCAAGGAACAAGCGGGCCAGGTCAAGGAACTGGCCATCATTTGCCGCGAGTACTTGGTCGCATGCCGCATCCGCGCGCATCTGAACGAGGTGTCGCTGGAAACCAACCCCAAGCGCAACATTGAGCTGAGCGCGTACTGGACGCACTGCAAACTGCAGCCGTCGCACATGGTACTAACTCTGAAGAGCGCCATGACCAACGCGTTCAAAGCCAACAACTTTATCACGGCGTCGTCGTTCTGCGCACGGCTGCTCGAGATCCCCGAAGTCAATACAGAGCGCAATATCAAATTGCAGCAAACGGCCAAGAAGGTCGCGATGAAGGCCAACAAGGAGGCCCGCAACGAGCACCAAATCGACTACAGCGACTCCAAGGGCTTTACCATCTGCGCGCGATCGCTCACCCCCCTGTACACGGGCGCTGGCAACGACACACGGTGCCCGTACTGCGCCGCCACGTACCAAGCGCAGTTCCAAGGCAGTCTGTGCGACATCTGCGGCATCTCCAAGATTGGCGAGGAAACCCTTGGGCTGGTCGTGTCGCCGTAGTAGGAGCTTAATATTGAGAACGATGATTTTCCACATACAGTATACACTACACCCGAAGTTTATGTGTTTAAGTATTGTGCCCAATCAGATTCAGCTAGTACAAATGAGTTGATTTGCCAGAGAAATCGAATTGCAAAGTACACAAGCCAATCAGAGTTCAACGTTTAGAATTTACTTCGATCCGTCGTTGTCTGCAGTGTAAATCCCATGTTCCCATGTGGGACAAACAAATGTCCCACAATTGATAAATCCAAACTGGGTCAATCGATAAATCCCCACTGGGTCACAACATCTCGAACACATCAGCGTATAACGTTAAGGTTATTTAGTTTCCTGATACAGGCCGTTCGAAGCAAACTCACAACAGAGTGCCGCTTTTCAGTCTTATCCAATTGCAGATTTGCGACTACTGTATGCGGCTAACGTTACAAAAGCAAACTTCAGCGGTTAAAAAGGCATCGCAAAGCGGTTCCAAAAATAACCATGTTTGATTGGTTATACTGTCCGAGATAGTTTATCCGGTTTGATCAAGAAGTTGTTCCAATTTCCCAATCCTGCAGTCCGACATCTCATCCGACTCAATTCTGATTGGCTTAAGTTCGACCTAATTATCTTGCCTTTACTTTTTGCTGTATCATTTAGGGTCATAGTTTTCGACTTCATTGTGCTCCTACATCCACAATTTTGAGAAATACTGTAAGGGGAGCGCCCAATATATGCGGGTGCCGTGCAATCCATTAAGGTGGATGTATATGCGGGAATGCCATAAAAACCCAGATTACAGCAACTTATGTCTCCCGTCTACGTTTTCTAGCCAGGTGTGCAAATGTGACCATCTTCGTTTGGGAGATACGAAGCTGACATCCAAGTTCAGTGAAACACCAGGATCATGGCAAGTTGGCCATTATAGTGCCAAATGCAATGCAGCTATATCCGTCGAGGTGTAGCGACGACCCAAACCAGTGCCAATCGTGCTGTTATAAACGTTTAACGTAAGGGACCAATCTAAGC